TGAAGCACGATGTGGAAGAAGGTGAGAGGCTGCTGATCAGCAGCGCGTTTGGCTATGGTTAGGCGTATGGCCAGGTACCCTGGTATGGCTACCCTTCAGCCTCGTTTCCGTGCACTTCCGGTGAAAGTGACACCCCACTGCAACTGAGGACCAACTTCCTTGCAGGCGGAAAAGAAAAGTTTTCAATGCTACCGCAGCATAACTGTGTATAACTGTGCAGTTCGCTCTGAGTAGAAAGCAAGACCCATCACGTGGAGAAGCGATACTTTTGCTTGTAACACTTACCTAAATTGCCCACACCGCAGCTTTTCTGCAAGAGTTCATTTTCTTTTCGTGAAAGACGGTAGCAGTTTGCCGCCACAAGCAATAATAATACGGTGGAGAGTATCATCTGGAATTAAGGAAAGATCAATCTTCGTCATTTCTGAAGCCCCATTCACACTTCGGAATGGTCGTATGCCTCCCGCGGGAGGGGGAGGGTCATATTTGTGAAGGTCATTACTCAACACGGCAGCGATAAAAACTTGCTTAGTAGGTTATGCTTTCGAAAAAGAGACGAGTACTTGGCGCATCCCATGTTAGCGTTGATCAGCACCTCTGTGCTGCAGTTCCTACTTGTGAAATGAGGAGAATGTGTATGAGGAGCCTCCCGAGGTATGTGTATGGAAATGTGGGTTTTAAAAGGGGAAGCTCCTCATACTGCAGTTAAAGCTGCCTTCCAAAGAGAAATCCGCGACGGGCGAAATTCGGCTGTTGCTGAGCTAAAGCAAGGATGTTGTGCTCAACAGAAAACATTCTACTTTTGAAAGCTTTGTAGATCTCTGACCAAATTATGTCTGAGCGAAGATATTGAAGGGAAAACTCCGACCGCGTTATTTTTGTGAGGCCCCTCCGCTAGATGCGAATTTTTGCTATAACTGAGCTACAGCGAAGCCGTTGAGCTCATTCAAAAGAGAAAAACTTCCAATTGCCAATTTAATGTAGACCTCCTATCTATACTAAGTGACCAAAGTTATCACCACTGAAAGGTGAAGAACTCGGGTTGCCCGGATTTCTCCGCGTTATTCTCTGGCTGGAAGTCGCCATGCAAGCTTGATGGGGTACGTAATGTATTTCTTACAGAGCATGGCCGCGCCACTTGACTCTTGACTCTTCCTTGCCACTCTG